AACTTTTAGAGGTCGATTTGTTATTTGTGTTTGGTGATTGATAAAATGCTCTTTTTGTGTCTCGTTACAATGTGGAACATGCAATCGACTCTTTGTATGTGCAATTAACTACGGATTTTTGGAATTTAATCCGTCGATTGGCTTCTAAATTGGAAATTAGTTCATAGAACTTTAATTTGTTGGTAATGAGAAACATATATATAGTTTGTACAAGGAACAAACAAATTAAGAACTTGAGTTACGAAGAGTTACCAATTGGAACAATTTGGTTTACTCAAAAGTATCCGTAACCAAAATTTCTTCCACTTGAATCCACTGGCGATCAGAAGGAATGAGAAAATCAGTCCCATGGCTGCCAGCTTGATATTCCGGCAGTGACACCTTTTCTTGAACAAACGATAATATTATTTACACTAAAAGGGATGAGTGAGCTTAGCCTCACCTGGCATCGACACCTAGTTGTGAGCAATAAAACATTGCGTAGGACCTTAAAAGCAGAACAAGGGGCAAAGGAAGAGTAGTCACTTTCTTCATTGTGTCGTAATGAAGGAGACACTGATTGTAATCAACGAACAAATATTGAAAACACGTGGCGGATTCAGAAATTTTTCTAATCGTTGAAAAATACAAAACAGATTTACAAGCATCGGATTAAAGTTTATAGGTCGTATTTCTCGTTAACAATGTGACAGTCTTCATTTTACATAATCTTCCTAGTACATACATGGATAGCGTTGCCGCAAATCTGATAAATTGTGAACTGGAATTGTAAGGGGCACCCACAAAGGTGCACCCCTCCAAAAATAGGCGTATGCCACTTATAGCAATGAGCACACGGTATTCTTTAGTAAAAGGCGAAAGAATAGTTCGCTTTGTGCTCAATGCATGGCTCCGTAATTTTTACTTGCACGGAAATGCCCCTTTTTATATTCCCGACTGTAGCTCGTTCTTGATGGTCTCGTCGATGTGGGAAGCGCCTACTGCTTATGACTCAACAGTTTCAGCTCAGCAGTCCTCACAAAAAAACCCACAAGAGCTACAGCTAGCGTTTCAGGACCTAACCAGGCTCCCATATGGTATAGGATTTGCCATTCTTTACATCTACACTTCAAAATATTGCTCTCCATTTGTCCCTCTTACTTTGAGAAACTAATGGAAGCTTCACAATTGTGGAGTTGTAGCTCTGTTGGCTAAGAGTTTCTACTAATGCACCGAAAGTCTCGAGTTCAATTCCCTCTCCAATATTGATTGTGTAAAATAAAATAAAAAAGAGTGAGGCTACGCGATTAAACCTCCAAGTTCCAAGCCAAGTTTATACGAACCAGGTGCTGCAAGCTCCCATTTTTCTCTACTTCTTTCTTATGTTCGAGATAATTATATGAATTATAAGTAGCAGTGGATTTGGAAAAATATCATCGAGGTTGTTAAGTTAGAAACAATGTCAAGGCTGGACTAATCACTTGTGACTGTCCATTTCTATAAGATCTCAATAATCATTATCAGAGTACTTCTTATGTACAAGACTCGAGGTGTATAATGTATATAATAACATAATTAAAACACGACTAATGTTGTTCAAGAAATATTATATCGCTTATTATGAAATATTATATCGCTTATTATGTTATTAATTTTTACATCGTTTTACGTATTGATCAACTGACACGAAACATAAATAAATAAACTTGAACACGACCCGTTGCCACTCTTTACCGTGTTCATGGACTGATTCAGGCTCGAGACCAAATTATGGGCTTGATCCAACTTGGGCCTAAAGCCCATATCAAGTCCAATATCAGTAAACCACAAAGCTGAGGTTTTAGCCCCACTCTCGCTCTTTCTTCCTCTGCTTCATCTTCTTCATCTCGCGCCAAAGCAAAAACCCAGCACAGCACAATGATGACAGCCTCGTCAACGTCGCTAATTCAGCGCGTCTGCGCCGTTCCTCTCTCACGTGCTGCCCGCACTCGCGCCATGGCAGCGGCGAGCATGAACCTGTCCACCACCACCACCGCCCCCAAAAGCACCGACCCCCAAGTCCTCCTCGGCTTGTCGGAACCAGAGCTCCAGCAGCTAGCTATCGACTTCAGTCAGGTAAACAAGCACAAAATGCTCTCAATTTGTTTGTGCAGAAATGAAAGTTACTGAATTTATTTACTTAAATTTCTGTTTCTGAAAATGTATTTACAGCAAGGCTACAGAGGGAAGCAGCTCCATCATCTTATTTACAAAAGAAAGATTAAAGATATTCAGGATTTCAGTCAGGGTAACTTTCTCTCTCCATCTCTCTCTCTAGAAAAAGTTGGGTTTTTTGGGTTTTGGGGGGCAATGCTAAATTACTGTGGGGGTTTTGTGTTGCAGTGCCTCTGGCATTCAGAAATGAGCTTGAGGAAGCTGGATGGAAAGTTGGTAGGTCACCCATTTACCAGAGCGTCACTGCTGCTGATGGCACCGTCAAGGTAATGTCTTGGAAAATGGTTACTGCCACTGGATAATTTTTGTGGGATATCCTTGTTATAACTCAATGTGAAGTTGAATGGTTTACATGGATCATGATTGTTTGTAAAATGGGGCTGTTTGATTGCCAGTAAGTAATTTTTGGATTAGCGTATTAGCGGTTAAGAGTTGTGCCATTGATTCTTGCAGGTATTGATAAGGTTGGAGGATAACAGATTGATTGAAACTGTTGGCATACCAGTTAAAGACGAGAAAGGTGTGATGCGCCTTACAGCGTGTGTCTCATCACAGGTGATTTTCTGAGATGAGATTCAGCCATTGAAATAAAATTTCCCTGCAGTTATGTTTTAGTGTTGGTTTTGTGCATGGTTCACCGCAGTGCAGTTTGTATTGTATTTCTTATTAATTTGGGTGAAACAGGTGGGATGCCCTCTTCGTTGCTCTTTTTGTGCCACGGGAAAAGGAGGATTTTCAAGAAACCTCAAGAGGCATGAAATTGTTGAGCAGTATCAACTGTCTTTTCCATGCTCTTATCTTCAAATTCCGTTACAAGTAAGGGCTGTTTGCATGCTCGCTTGTTGATCTAATTTGTGCACAGGCATGATTGAAAATTTCATGTAAGGTTTACCATTGTTGTATGCTATACATGAGCAAGCTCAGTATATATTGTGATTCTGGATACCATCATATTTCCAGGTTTTGGCTATAGAGGAAATCTTCAGCCATAGGGTGACTAATGTCGTGTTCATGGGAATGGGTGAACCGATGATGAACCTGAAGGTGGTACTTGAAGCGCATCAGTGTCTAAACAAGGTGCCTTTGCAACTTTATCTTGTGCTTTTTAATAGCTGCTTTGGTTCCATGTTTAATATATAGAATCAAGAAGTTTGACCTTGTGACATGAAACCTACTAGTATTAAAGCGGAATGCTATTTTATAAAATTGTTAACATTATGATCTGAGTGAAACTTATTTATGTTGGACTTTATTTTCTACAGGATATTCAAATTGGGCAAAGAATGATCACAATTTCTACCGTGGGGGTTCCAAATACAATTAAAAGGCTGGCATCTCACAAACTTCAGTCGACATTGGCTGTCAGGTATGTTATTTTTAAATGGGAATGAGTTATTTGTATTTATTAGAGCATTTTGTTGAACTGCTTGTTCAGAAAAAAAAAAGAAAAAAAAAAAAGGGGAAGCGTTCTGAAGTTAAATCCTTGCTAAGCGTTTCTCATATTATTGTGCATCAGCCTGCATGCTCCTAACCAGAAGCTGAGGGAACAATTGTGCCAAGTGCAAAAGCATACCCTCTGAGTGCACTGATGAGGGATTGCAGGGACTATTTCACTGAAACCGGTAGACGGGTTTCCTTTGAGTATGCACTCTTAGGTAGTGAAATAAGATTTAGAAAAATTATGTTCGTCTCTTTTGATCCCTGTATGCTTACTTTAACAACCTGACAATGATTTTTGTTTTGAGCAGCTGGAGTTAATGATGCGGTAGACCATGCAGTAGAACTTGCAGAGCTACTCCATGAGTGGGGACGAGGTTCTCATGTGAACTTGATACCATTTAATCCAATAGAAGGCTCTGAGTATAAACGTCCATCCAAGAAAGCGGTATGTAACTTTGTTTTCAAGCATAAACACCTCTATACTTGATCCAATTTTCGCTTTTCTGTTAGTTTAATTCTTGTTTTATTCACCTGATTTGTTGTGGTTTCTGACAAAATTTTATTTGGTAGGTACAAGCATTTGCAGCTGCTCTGGAGAACAACAAAGTAACGGTCAGCACTCGTCAAACAAGGGGCTTGGATGCAGATGCAGCATGTGGTCAGCTAAGAAACAAGTTCCAGAAGAGTCCTTTGCCCGTTGACTCTGACAACTTACAAACTGAAAAAGATGCCGCAGTTGCAGTTGCATGTTGACGTCATTGTCAACCGTTTGCTCCTCTGCACAGTGGGCTGTACGACACATTTGCGTGTTCTTGTCCCTTCGTCTGTAAGAAACTTGTTAAAAGTGTTGTTCAAAGCTGGAGGTGGTCTGCATCATCTACTTTCACTAGTGGTGGAGCGATATTCTCTCTATATGAAGTGTGTGGTGCAGAAAACAACTTTCACCTGTACAGATGCGGAGGGCTGGGGAGATATATTCCGCGTCGCTGATATCGCAGTGATGTTGGATATCTACAGCTCGCGAAGGCACAAGATTATAGCACTTTCCCCTCCTCATGGATTTACTAAAAGACGGAAAAAGGGTCATTTTTGCAATTGAAGACAGTTAGGCTTAGCTTCTCTGTATAACTATGCATGACATTATATAGTCATCTATTTGTACCTTCTCTGAATATGCAAAAAAACCCTTGAGATTTAATGACATGTTTTGTTTTGAGTTTTGAGGGTTGCAGTCACAATGGGATAACAGTCAGAAATAGAATTGCAGTGGGCATAAAACTGTCGGATGTTCAGAGAGACAGGTCACTGATCCACCCCTAACCACACTGATATTGTCTCAACTTAATCACCTATTGCTAGGTGTTGAATTTCATCACAAAATTTTTCGGTGTTATTAGGAGTGGAACCATACACTAATATACTATATTCTAGTATTTTCTCAATTTCCCGATGCGGGACCTATATTCAACAAAAACTTGGTTTCTTCTGGAAATGCCTGCAATACTTTGCCAGTAGGGCGTTCTCTGTCTCCATCTCTTGAGATTTCAGGCTCATCCACAGGATCCAGCTTTGAAAGCAAGTGTAAGTTCTTGTTTTGGTCTCCGTAATGGAACTGATGATATATTGAGATGTCTTAGCGTCCACATCCTGGGTTCCAATTATTTGGTAATGTCACAGATGTTTTCATTGATTTGGATCCGACAACGCCTGTCCAACTCCAACAAGAGTGTCAGCAAGTGGGTTAGTTTTATAGATAAAACTTGAAAAACTAACGTAACAAAAATAAAAAGCGAATAGAGGAGCCATGAAAATTAATATATACCATTAGTAAATCATGGATACGATTTTTGAGAACTGCATATGATTTAAGCTCTTCAGATCTATCACCAGGTTCTGCTTCATCTTGGTCATTGGATGTCTCCGAACTTTGCATCGTTTTTTCAATCTTCAACGTAATTCAAAATCTGAAGCAATAGATTAAGAAATGTTTGTTCGTATCATGTATAAAACAAGCCAGTCTTGGACCCCTTTTGTAAATGAAGAGGAAAGATCTAGCATAACTTATGAAAACACAATGGGAATAAATCTGTGTGCGGTATTGAGTTTCGATATCTTATCAAGTTATATTCCTTATAATTATGTTTATATTAATTACTGATTATTGATAAAAGTTTTTACGAAATAACTATTACACGCATTTTTTTAAGAGATTCAATGTAAAAAAAGAAAAAAAAACATATATGTATATATGTGAATGAAATGTGACATAATTAGAATTAACATACTATACATAAATATAATATATACTTTTGTAGAAAACATCCCAAAAACAAAAAAACAAGAAAAGAACGAAGTCAAATAAAGTAACGTAAGAAAGGGGCGATCTTGTAGTTCTTGGTCTATGAAGATACGTTGTTAGGTGCTCTGTTTTAGCCCTCTGACCCTCCAAGATATTACTATTTTAATGAACAGTACATAGTCATATTTGCCTCCATCTCCAACCGAGAGCCAAAGAGCCAGAGGGTTCATTTTAGCCCTGTCACAAAAAATCATCTCCACACGAAGGGCAAAGGGCTATAATATGAAATGTATAGTATGAAATGATGAAAAAATATGTGAGAAATGGTGTAGAAAAAATTAGAAATTAAAAAAAAAATCCAAAAAAACAAAAGAAAAAAGTGGGTTGTTCACAAAAAAATTTAAAACTGGTCTGGGACCAAAAACTGAAAGCCCTAAAGTGGGCTGAAAGAACAAAAAAGAAACTGGGCTGGGCAAGTGGAAGGAAAAAAAAATCAAAATTGGCTAGCCAGCGAGCTGGTTGAAGATGGTCAGCCGGTTGGCCCTCTGGCTCGTTCAGATTCCGCGAGGCCCACGAGCCATTTGGCCTAACCCTCGGTTGTAGATGATTTTTGGACTATTTTCGACCCTCTGACTATCTGAACCCTTCGGTTGGAGATGATCTAAGGCCGAACCTAAACTTGTGCTTGAGAGATAATTGTCCCTATATCGATAAGGGATATATGGTTTCTCGAGAAGAGAGAAGCCGTGGTGGTCCCTAAAAAAACCTCAAAGGAAAAAAGATAAAAGAAAAAAAAAAATTAGAATAGGGAGCGAACGGTACGATGATACCATTCCCCATCAAGGAAAGTTGGGGCCGTACTGCCACTCGTCTCTTAAGACAGGAGAGTCATTTTTGTTTTGTTTTGTTAATTACATAAATATATTTTTCAGTATTGGTGGAGGACTGAGGAGAGAGAGTCTTTTCTAGTCATAACACCAAATTATTGTCTTCATATTCTACAAAATATATTTTCAAATGCAAAATATCTTAAAATTCATGTTTAAACGTTCAAAAAACAACGATATAAAACCTAAATCTAAATAAATTTTGATCTAAACAAATTGAGGAGAGAGAGAGTCTTTTCTAGTCATAACACCAAATTATTGTCTTCATATTCTACAAAATGTATTTTCAAGTGCAAAATATCTTATAATTCATGTTTAAACGTTCAAAAAACAACGATCTCCATTGGTCGATGTGGGATGTTACAATCCACCCTCCTTAGGGGCTTGACACTCGCACCACACGGCAGAGTGGCTCTGATACCATTCTGTCACATCCCAGTCTCGGCTCCACCGTAGCACGATATTGTCTGCTTTGTGCCCCGGCCACGGGCTCACGGTTTTGTTTCTGGGAACTCACACGAGAACTTCCCAGTGGGTCACCCATCCTAGGAATGCTCTCGCCCGTACTCGCTTAACTTCGGAGTTCTTATGGAATCCAAAGCCAGTGAGTTCTCAAAATGCCTCGTACTATATGGAGATGAGCATGTACATATAAGGCACATCACCTCCTCTACGTTAGTCGATATGAGATGTTACAAATGTCTCATGGACACTTTTATTTTGAAATTTTGTATTGTCAAATTAACGCTAAAAACTAGGGCTACATTGAAGTACACTCTATCATGGAAATCGAGTCTCTTCGAAAATTAAATAGCATTCAAGAAAATTTTGTTGCCTTTTTAGTTTTTCCCCACTTGGGCTCTATCAATTTGAGACTCTTCAAAGTGAGCTCTTTTTTAACTAATCAATTTTGGACATCACAATTTTTGACCGTGGCGTTTTGATTCGTTTCAAGAGCCACGTTCTGAAACTGAAATTTTATTTTGAGCCAAAGAAATATAAAGTTTGAAGTTTGAACCATCTTCACCACTAACCTTTAGTTTTTCTAGGAGTGGTGATGAAGTTCAGATTCGACCAAAGAAAGATGCCATGAGAGGGAGGCAATGTTTCGATAACAGTAAATCTATGGCTTTTGAATTTATAAGAAAAAAAAAAAACTGAAAAATTAAAAGCAACTACTTCTGAACTTTTGATAAGGACAAATCTATACGTTATGATTTCTTAAGAAAAAAGAGTAATTGAAATCTAAGAAAATATGTTTTGATATGACCGAATATGTGTCACATCCCGGCCTGGGGCAGACCACTTCCCGGGCCCACTTTACCACCGTAGCACGATATTGTCCGCTTTAGGCCCTGACCACGCCCTCACGGTTTTGTTTCTGGGAACTCACACGAGAACTTCTCATCACGCCTTGATTCTAGGATCGGGGAGTGTCAATATGTGTGTTTTGAGTTTATAAGGAAAAAAATTATATAAAAAAAAATTCGAGGCCATAATTGTTTCGTTAAGACCAAATATTTGAATTTTGAGTTTATGAAGAAAAAGAGTATAAAAAATTAAAAATCAAGGCCATTATTTTCTGGTAAGGACGAATATTTATGGTTTGAGGCTTTGAGCTCACAAGGAAAAAGAGCAATGAAAACATTAAAATATGAAGCCAATATGTTTCGAAATGATGAAATGTGTGAATTTTGAGTTCATAAGTAAATAAGAATAACTGAGCCAAACTTATGCGTTTTATATTCATATAACTGAAAATTAAAACTTGAGACCATTATATTTTGATAGGACCGAATTTGACAATCTGTGCATTTTGAGTTCTAAAAAAAAAGAATAATAAAAAATAAATTAGAGGTCATTATAATTTTTGTTCGCTATTTACGCCCATTGTTTTTTTTTTCCTTCACCTTGGGAAAACTGGCCATATTCACTATTTTAAAAATGAATGCGTTGTCATATTCATGTAGATTAATTACCATATTAATAATTTTCACCCGAAACTTTTGTAGTTGATATATGCGCGTGTAATTTCATGTACCATCTCACGTGAAACCGGATAAAACTTTGTGTGTCATTTCATTTGAAATTGGTGAAAACTGTCTGTTATTTCACGTGAAACTTCTGTAACTGATATATGCATGTGTAACTTTCACATGAAGCTTTAGTAACTGATATATGAATGTGTAATCCTATGTCATTTCACGTGAAACTTCTGTAACTGATATATGCATGTATAATTTCCTGTCATTTCACGTGAAACCAGTGAACACTTTGTCTGTCATTTCACGTGAAACCGATGAACACTTTGTCTGTCATTTCACGTGAAACCAGTGAACACTTTGTCTGTCATTTCACGTGAAACCGATGAACACTTTGTCTGTCATTTCACGTGAAACTTTTGTAACTGATATATGCATGTGTAATTTTCTATGTCATTTTATGTGAAACCGGTGAAAATTTTGTCTGTCATTTCACGTGAAACTTCTGTAACTGATATATGCATGTGTAATTTCCTTTGTCATTTCACATGAAACTGATGAACACTTTCTATGTCATTTCAGGTGAACATTTTGTCTGTGACTAAACCAACTTCTTTACGAACACCAATTTTATCACTCAAGTTTTCTATAAAATGCCTCACAAGCCTTCACCATAATACATCAAGTACATCATACATTCTTCACACTCATTTGCGCACCTAAACCTTAGAAGCACTTCTTATATTGTAGGAATGAGTGTCATGAGAGAACGACGCACGAGAGAGCTCCATCGTGATGCAGCCAAAGGAACCCTTGGCCTCAAAAAGCTTGTTCTACCAACCTGGAACCCGATTGTATGTTTTGATCAAATCATGGAGCTGGTTGGTAGCTACTATACAAAAGTTATGTGCCCTTTTGAGTTTCATGAAGTATGCGCAAGGGCTGTTGTTGCCTACACCCAAAAGCTTAAGGTGTTAAGTCTAAAGGGTACAACGGTTCACTCTATCTTTAGAGAGGACTCTGAGCATCCCGACTACTCTTATATATGCAAACAACTTGGCGAGTCAATCACGGCACAAGCCTCGTGGTTGCAGAAGTTTCTTCTGTGTCCAACACTGATGTGTGATAAGTCTGAGGATGAACTAACCACTGATGAAGTGTGTTCAGGTGGTTGGATTTGACGAAGAAATTTGGCGCAAGGACAAGATAAGTTCGCTTTCATATTGATAGACAATATGAGGGACACACCATGCTTGCATGGTTCAAATAATTAATGAACTAATTTCTGAGTAGGATGGAGGATTTGGAAGTGCTAAATGTCGCTCACTGTACCTTTATAGAGGACTCTGAGCATCCCGGCTACTCTTATATATGCGAACAACTTGGCGAGTCAATCACTGCAGAAGCTTCAGGGCTCCAGTAAGTTTCTTCTGTGTCCAACATTGATATGTGATATGTGTGAGGATGGGGTAGCTGCTGATGAAGATGTGTTCAGGTGGTATAGATTTGACGATGAAATTTGAGCAAGGACAAGACAAGTACGCTTGCATTTTGATAGACCTTATGAGAGGCACACCGTGCTTGCATGGTTCAACTAATTAATGAGAATGTAAAAATTTTTGAGCTCTGTATCCGAGGGACACCCTGCAAAGATTGCTTTTATAGAAAAAATTTCATGCCGCAGTTAGCTTGTGATTAGTCTGAAATTTCTATCGGAAAGTTAATGAATGAGTTCATGGATACCCTTAGGGTAATTTTATCTACAGACCCACTTTTACATTTCACAAACTTCTCAAATTTTGATCGTCGGATCAGATGAATTGAAGAAGATCAATGATCAAAGTTAACAAGAGCGTGTGAAAGTAAAATGAGTGTGTGAATAACAATATCCTAGTTTTGACATATTACGAGAGATAAAGTAAGGGGTGTATTTTATACAGAGTTTAATATATTTCCATAGAGTTATAAATACATTGATTTTAAGGGAGTTTACTTGATTTCCATAGAATCCATGTGGATTTTGATTGAATTCTACAAGGATTTTAATGGAGTTTGTGAAACTTTTATCATGGATTTAAATAGAATCCTATTAATTGTCATGAATATTTTAATGACTAATTCCTCAACATACATTGCTATTTTTAAATTTTTTATCATTTGAAATGGTTAATATGGTCATGATAAAGTGGTCATATGAAGTGGTGACGGCAACAATGTGGTTGAAGTGTCACGTGATAATTGTCGGCAAAATAATTGTAGTAAATGTGACCGTCGGCAAGTGTAACATAAACATTTTAATCTTATTTCTCATTAATCATTATCTCTTTATAAACCAATTTGAGTAGAAATTATATGGTTTGGAAGCTGGACCACGTAGTTCCTCCTACCAAAGACACTTGAAACACGACATCCTCCCCCTGATTTTGAGGCCCACTACATCCCCTGATCCCACCTTCTCTCTCACACCCACCCAAATCTAATTTTGTACGTACACAAGAACCTCTCCGGTGTGGGACAATATTATTGGCTTTGTGGGCCCATATGCATAATAAATCATCCAACTAACAAAATTACTACGGTAACAACATTAGATGGTAAGAGCAACTAATGAGTAAGTCAATATAAAGGACGAATTAGATGAGTTTAAAACATAAATGATTAACTAATGACTTCACAATAATTCCAAAATAAAAATTGAAAGAAAAACTGATACAAACTCAAGCGTGTGACAGTTTGTTTATTTACATCTTATTTTTTACTTGTAACTTTTTATTTTTTTTAGTTTTGTTTAAAATATTTTTAGAGTAAATTGTAGCAAAGATCTATCAATTAATTAAAACGTGCAGTTATGGTAATTTTCGTCAACTCTTTTAGAACTTCCATCTAAATGGGTCACATGTCATGCACGTGAGACTTAATTAAGGGGCAAATATGAAAAATCAAATAAGAAAAATTGTATTAATGATCCCTTAACTTTAATCCAACCGGATAAATGGTCTCTCAACTTTAACTCAATTGGAGCAATGATCCCTCAACTTTACCCTAATTGTAGCAATAGTCATTCCAACATAACTCATTTTGATAGAATTTTGACGGAGTTGACGAAAATGACCATAACTACACATTTTGATGAGTTGAGGTTAATGGTAATGAATTTTTAATTGAAAAAATATTGTTCTGATTTAATTAAAATTGAAAGAGTATTACTACAATTTACTCAATATTTTATGTTTCATCATCTTGTACGTATTCTCTGTACATCTAAAATTCTTAATGATTAAGAATGCGATTCAGTTAGGACTTAAGCCAGAAAATTCCTTAAAAGAACGACTTTACCTCACACTTGTTTCTCCTACTTCTCCATTAAGCAACTCTGTCTCTTGCTTATCACACGACAGAAGACAAACCAAAACACCATGGAAAAACACGACGACGGGATCGACAACCTGGACACCACCTCTTCGTGGACCTCCGCCACAACATGGACCGTTGCAGGTGGTTCCCTCACGAATTGCGTCTCCTTCGAATCCTCCTCCTCTCTGATCGACGACGACACTCCGAATTCCACACCTACATCCACTCTTATTCTGCACCCTCCGTCACCCGATTCGGGCCCTTGCGAGATCACCAGTATGCTCTACAACTTCTCTTCTCTGAAAACTTTACATTTCGGCGCCAAATTTTATTGAATTTGAGTTTGACACCCTCTCTTTTTTTTTTTTTATATAAATCATGGTCCTTTATATATTATTATTGTACGTTATGACTTAAAAGTTAATAATTTCTGGGACCGGTTGATTAGGATTAGGATTATTGCCAAATTTTAGATGAAAACAAAGCTAAATAGAGGGGCAATCTACGATGCATGGACACACGGACCCAGGGATATGACACTATACGACCGGACACGGGATATGAGGAGATACTGCTGTGTCCATGCATCGTAGGGGGCAATCTTGTACTCGAAAACGAGGATAAAAACAGGATTTTGCAGTGTACTATGAGTTCATCTACGAAAGCGACACTTGGTTGCTAAAAGTAGAAGTAATAGCTGTTGGAGCTCAAAGTGTTACCAAGGGTTGTGTAACTTGTGTTAATAGTTGGGTATCTAAAGTGCATTTGACCAACAACGTTTTCCACTGCAGTTAATTTCACACAAAAACATGATATCCAGCAGGTTTATGTTCGAAGTACTGCCCGAGAATATGAGATATACTATGCACCTGATATACAGAGTGGCAATGAATATCTCTGCACTGTTCTCTGTGGCATTGCTGCCCGAGATGAACAAATGCTTCACACAGGTGATAATGATCAAGTTTGTCCTGCAAATTCAAATGAGTCGCTTAAGGACCCATCCGAAGCTAAGTCAAGAAATGGAAATAGTCCGAACAACAGTGAAGATGACTGTGTTGAAGTGAAAGTCTTAGATACTAAAGTGCTTGATAACAAAATCAATTTGTCGCAATTGAAGTTGGGATCTGCACAGGTATGTTGCTTAGTTCTCCATGTATATTAATTCCAGTGAACCCCCTCCCACTTTTGTTTTTCTTTCGCTTCTTTTTTTTGTCCCGTCTAGTTAATTTCTTTATATGGTGCTTGCTGATCAAGTCCTTGTGTATCAGGATTTTTATGAAGCTACAGCACAGATTAGTGATGCAAGTCCTTGTGTATCCCTCACACTTCATCTACTGTCGCTTGAGGGGAAAGATTGTGTATGTGTTGGTGAGGTTTATGTGTTTGCTGATCCTGTGGACTCATCTGATTCAGAGAACCAAGTTAGTGCGGTGGAAAACTCAGCTGGGAGTTCTCTAATGGCCATGCTTGTGCCTACCCTTTTGCAATTCTCTAAAACAAGGGGTGCTAACCGAACACAGGACAAGCCAATTTCTGATACATGGGGAAAACAGAACTCTCTAGCGACTGGGTCAAAAGAAACTGATTCTACCAGTGTTGCAACTAAGATTCAGGAACGAGGAAAAGCCAGCATACCTGATCACCAAGAAGTAAAGATTCCAGATTTTAATAAGGCTAGTACTAGTACTGCCCAGGTATGTATCCCGTCAGGAGTTGAAAGCGATGTGGACCAGCTTTATTCTCGAATGGGCAGAATAGAGGATCTGTTTTTGAGGTTTGAAGAAAAGATGCTAAAACCGATAAACAGGATTGAGGCAAGGCTTGAAAGGGTAGAGCAGCAACTTGAAGTACTGGCGAACAAATCACAGAATTCTGGATTGCCAACATGCACAAGATTCTACGCTTCTTCTTTCTCATGCAATGAGTCTGAGTCTAACTCTTGCTATAATAGTGGAAATGATTACTACAGTTGTGAGGCATTTGAATCAGGTAAGGACATTCAACCAGATGCACCCCTGATCACAGCTTATGAAATGTCTGCTTCAGTAAATTCCACCCATTCGCTTCCAAGTCTGGTAGTAACTGCTCCTGAATTTTTTAATGGTGATGATGACGAGGATGACGAGGACAGCGAAGATCATGGATCAGAAGTAGTGATAGGTTCATCAGAAAAACCAAGGCCTGCTTTGACAATTGATGATGCTCAAACTCTTTCGGTTAAAGCTCCTGATGTTTTAAATGAAGAAGATGGTAACGTTGAGAGGAAAGAATTGACAAGAGAGGAACATGAAGTAGGCACATATTCTTCCATGTGCCTTGGTGAAACTGATGTGACAGAATACATAAAGGGTTCACTTGCTGATTTGACGAAAAGTTCTTCAGATGGTGAGGGGAATGTGATAAGATCACCTAATGATGAGCACACTGATCAATCACTCAGAGTCGATGGGCCGGACCAGCATTCTGAGGGTGGAGAAGAAGAAACACTTGATGATTACAAGAGCATTGAGAATGCAGTTGATCCAGCCAATGGTGGCATGTCTAGAACTGATTTTTGTCAGATAACTGAAGATATCGAAAATGGAGATGTCAGCATTGAGATAAGCAACACGCCAGACCCTGATAACACCGATGTTCAAAACCAGTTGCCTCAACGTCAGACTGATGATGGATATGATGACACGGAGGAAGATGCTGATCGAGATTCTGATTTAACTCTTCCAAAGGAAGTGACAGAAAGAGAATTCCCACAAAGATACTTTGAAGAATATCCTCGAATTTTCACATGCTGCTTCTGTGGTGGACTTTGAAATTCCGGTTCTAAATTCACTTCTCAGGACAGTTGCGATTTTTCTCTGGAAGCCCTTTTAGCTGAGTTTCCAGAATCAGTGACCGAAGCTCCTGCTTTCAAGGAAAGTGATGACGTGCTCCCTATTGGCGCCGAGGGCTGCGATTTGATTTTGGTTGAGGATGGGGAGCCAGTTGGTGCCCCCCCCCGATGGCAATTTTTCTGTGGACATGAACTTATATAGTCTCGGAGGACCTTCAAGCCTGTGGGGTGACCATACATGCAATAGCCATGAGACATTTGCAGCAAGTCTCATTTGATAGTGCATAAGTCTGTCCACAACTTTGTTGATATGTACATAAATTTGAGCTACTGAATCTACTGATTGTCTGTTTCTCCTCTCCTCTCTTTCATTACTCATAAACCAAAATTGATAGATACATTTGTAGGGCTGGGCAAGGTGCGGTTGGTTCGGGTTAGGATTCAAACCGCAGACTGAATAACCGTACCAAATGCATCTGTATGGTCGGTTTGGTTTGTTTCCTTCTCTTACACTATGTTTGGATGAGGGAAATAAACTTGGAATTTTGAAAAAATTCAGAATTTATAAATTGACATGCTCTAATTCTCTTGTTTGGATTCATAAACATAGAAATTTAGAATTTCCGCGTGGAAAAAAAAACTTGGAATTTGGGACCTCTAATTCCCAAGTTCAAATTCCATGTAAATAGGTGTCATTTCCCAATTTCTATGATTTAGAGTTTAAAAATAACAAATTCAGTATTCAATTCCATTGTTCTTTTATATTAACCAAACAAGAAAATTTACAAATTCTAGAAAATAAAATCTTGTCATTTCAATTTCCGTCATTTTAAAATTCCTAATAATCTTAAATTTCTTCATCCAAACATACTGTTAGTAATTAGAAAAACATTATGCATTCATTAACATCTTTGCAAAGGAAATTTATCTTACTTTAAAACTAAACAAAGGGCTCCTCTTCGTTTTGCAGTGTTTGTTTGATAAAAAAAACCTATCTAACTTTTAGGTTATTTTTTACATATTAACTCTGCACATAATTCAATCAAATTATAAATCGTTTAATTGTTTAATTAATATTATTAAAATTTTAATTTTTAGATGAATACGATTGATTAGTCATGTTTTGAATAGTTACCAAAATTTTAGTACCAAAATAGGTGCACGCATTTTATCCGTATTGATTTCAAGTCATATGACTGAATCGGGCCCATCTCCAATCCATATTGATATTGGCTACCATCATATTTTGCTAATTCGTAATGAATTTTTTACTTACACGTGTCAAGATCCAAATGTGCCGGTCCCACATATCAATCTTCTTGTCCATCAGATCCCACAAAAATAAATAATAGAAAAGGAAAAATAAAAAAAAAGGAAAAAAAGAAGAGAGGGTTCCTACCGTTCCTTCCACAATCTTGTGAAATTTGAAAAATACAGGCATCGCGGTTGCCTGCTTGCAGACAGAGAAAACGGGTAAAGGGAGTACTAGTCTCTTTAAACTTCAATAGTGAGAGCTTATATACATTTCAAATGCTCAGCTAAATCCCCTTTGTCTGTTCAAAATCTAGGGTTAGGGTTTTAAGATACCAGAATGGAGGCTGTTGTGGTCGATGCCGGCTCCAAGCTCCTGAAGGCAGGACCCGCCATTCCCGATCAAGCTCCTTCCATGGTAATTATCACAACATATGCTTCAATTTCTTGGTCTCGCTTCCTATTTATGAAAGCAAAGAGGCGAGCTTTAAGACCTTTTTTTTATCCTTGCTGTAATTTTCTGTTTGGTTGCTTGGGAATTTTTTTTTGCTTTTTTGGGAAAAATGGAAAATTCCAAATGTGAAAGCTTGGGATTGTTTGTTGGTTTAGACTTTCGTGGGGCCAGCTAGGATTTGTTTTGATATCTTAAAGTCGGAAACTTTAGTTGGAAAATTTAGTAGCAATGGCTTGGGGGGTAGAACCTGTTTGGTTTCTGGGAAAGTTGTGAGAAAGAGAAGGAAAATTGTAGTTTTCTGTAGGTCCAATTAATATTTCAGCAGAACAGTGAATTAAATTATGAGGGTTCTTTTTTCTTTTATTTATTTATTTTTTTTTTCTGCACCCCTGTGGCATGGATATCCTCTTGTTACTCATAAGTTGTTAGGAGTTCTCTCATTAATTTTGTTTTTGCTCTGGTAGGAAATGAAACTTTTATGGTTGTGTTAGGGTGTGTTGAGTAGATGATTGTGTCACTCAAGTTTGCGTTCTGAAGGCTATCGTCATGCATATGCACGCTGTTGGTAAAATAACTCTTGCTGTTATTGGTCTGATGGGAATCTTAATATATCTCAACTTTCCAAACTATATATTCCAGAACAACGTTGGCATGATAATTGTAATTTGTACATTGTCACACATCCAATTGATTCTTACTATTACTTTCATTTCCCTCCTTCCCAACAATCTCGTGTTATCAAATGTATATCTCTCCTCCTATCCTACTTTTAACTCTTATGAAGTTGCACAAAAATGATGCCTTTGCAGTTTGCACTCCTTTTTCCAGCTCAACAATATTAAAAATGTATTCCAGAACCAGAGCTGAAAAAACAGTTGACTCTTTCTGTCATAAATAATGAATTTGCACATCATTTTCGTTGTATTCTAGTATAATTTTGTTTTTGTGGAAGTTGTATATGGCCCATATGGAGACATTGATATTGACCTTTGCAAATACTTCTTACTTATTGTATGTAAAAGAGTAGTAGTATTCAGTTTCCAGCTGATTTTGTCTCTATTCAATTTCAAGGTAATTTGTGCTTGATATGCTCTCAACTTTTCAATTAATCCTTGGGTGTTGGGAAGTCTGAAGAAAAGAAAATCAATCAAATAGTGAATTTCAGGTCACGATTGGTCTTTATTCAGCAAAAAGAGAGAAAATTTTGTTTTCAAAACAATAAAGGTGAATGTTTTCATGGTAAAGTTTTGTTTTAATTTGAATATAAGAATCAGAAAAGCAAATTTTCTTTCTTTGGAAACAAAGACCAACAATTTTCTTGGACTTTACCATGAAAATCATTTCTATCTAAAATTGCATATTTGGAAAGGAAGAAGTGACTCTCTTATACTTAATTTGATGGTTGCATTGTACATAATGAAAATTCGATTTGACTAATCCAGAAGTAGCTGATGATATCGCTGTAATTTAATACTCATTTCTTTCTTTTTTTATTTTTCTTTAACATTTATGTTCTGTCATATGCTTCAGATAATTCCTAACCAAATGAAACGCGTGCCTGATGATGGGTCAATGAATGATAATTCATCACTTGAAGATATCTTTGTTGATCCAGTTGTGCGAGGTCTTATTACTGACTGGGATGCCATGGAAGACCTGTTGCATCATGTTCTATATACTGGCCTTGGATGGGAAATGGGAAATGAAGGGCAGATACTATTTACTGATCCACTTTGTACTCCCAAGGTTAGCTAATAGGTCGTTATGCAATTTTTGGCTGAAAATAATCACAGTGGTTATTTTCGCGGTTTTTATTATTTGTATATAGTTTACTTAGCAAGTCGATGGATTATCTGTTATAAGTCTAGGCTGCTTCCATTGAGCACACTATCTAAGTTAAAACTTTCAGATCATGATATTATAAATGTTCTTGCGTATTCTTGTTTAATTATATTTAAAAATAAATTTCTAACAAGTCAATGGATTATCTGTTATAAGTGTAGGCTGCTTCCATTGAGCACACTGTCTAAGTTAAAACTTTCAGATCATGATTTTATAAATGTTCTTGCGTATTCTTGTTTAATTATATTTAAAAATAAATTTATGTAGCCTCAAGTTTGTGTGTTGTGAATCAGTTTCTGACATTATTTCACTAGAGAGAAAAATATTGTAAGGAGTAAGGAAACCTTGTTATCTCTCTAGAGAGACAAATCTTAGAATTATAACTTGCAGGTTCTACATAACTCCTTTTTGTTTTGGTGCAGCTAATATATATTTCTTTAAAAAAATTAATTTTTTTCTTTCTCCCAGGCTGTCAGAGAGCAGTTGGTGCAACTGATGTTTGAAACATTTAACATTTCGGGCTTCTATGCATCAGAGCAAGCAGTATTGTCACTTTATGCTGTAGGACGCATCTCGGGATGCACTGTTGATATTGGCCATGGAAAAATAGGTTTATATACCTTGCAGAACGGAACCTTTATTTGTTAATGGAATCTTGTTTATTGAATACATAGAGTTCTTTAAGCTATTCTTTCGTTTCTATACTGCATGCCAAGTCATATGCAATATAAAAATAATAAATCTATATACAGAATTCAGTTTATCCTATCTAGCATACAACCAGTGATTTGAACCATGTACAGATCTTGTAATAATAATATTAAGACCGAAATATTTTATTGATAGTTGATAGCTATGCCAAGCTATAACCATCTACATAGTGTGCATTAGGTGACCATATGATGATAATGGTCATGAAAGATGCATTGGTAGCTGAACTAAAGCTTGCAAGTTTTAGTTAACACACCTGACCTGTTAATGGCATTGGACTCTCTGTGTAAGCTAGTGAGTCAATATGGTATATGATAATGTAAGCAAACTGATTTTTTTTATTGTGCCTTTTCTGCATTTTTGGCCAATTTTAACAGATATTGCACCAGTCATTGAAGGTGCTGTTCAGCACATTGCCTCAAGGAGGTTTGAAATTGGCGGTACTGATTTGACGAAATTACTTGCTGAAGAGCTTGGGAAATCCAATCCTCTAGTGAATATCAAGATGTCTGATATTGAGAAAATAAAAGAGCAATATTCGTGTTGTGCTGAAGATGAACTTGCTTATGAAAAGACCAAAAATTCATGCCAGATAGAGCAGCATACCCTTCCTGATGGACAGGTATGGTTAATTTTTTGAAATTATGATATGGATAGATGGAGAAGACACAGATAGCACATAACTTGCTTGGCATGTTTCAGTTAGGAGGATATGTTGACTTCAGTATATCATATTATGCCTGTAATTTGCTATTATTCATGCTGTAACTGGCTTGCACCTATCGCAGTTATCTGGTTTTGTTTGATTTCAATCTATTATGTGTTAATTATACTTGTATAACGAGTTTATTGAAAGTTATCCTCACTGAAATCTTCTCTAATCTTACATGTTGAATACTAAAGGTAAGATCTAGTTTACATTCAAACACTTCTATTCTTTAGATATATGTTCTTTAACGTGGATTTTTTTTATCCCTACTTTACATTTTCTTTTTTATTCTTCGAAATGTGAATGCAAGATGACAGCAATCCCATCTCAAGGCATTTAGGTCACAGTTATCATTTATTCCAAGCTTAGCCTTTTTCTGTTCCTTAAACCTTCTTTCCCACCCTGTTTTCTTTCATCACTCAGCATTTTCCCAAACCGTTGTGATGCTTTACATGTATAGTTACTTTAATGTAATACTGGTCATTGGTTTAGGTTATTACGATTGGAAGAGAAAGATATACTGTTGGTGAGGCTCTATTCCAACCATCCATATTGGGTTTAGAGGCTCATGGAATTGTCGAGCAGCTTGTTCGTTGTATTTCAACAGTATCGTCTGATAATCACCGGCAGTTGCTAGAAAATACTGTACTGTGTGGTGGCACTGCTTCTATGACTGGTGAGTTTATTGTTGCCGATGCCTGTGCCTTTCAGATACTATAATTACTAATTAGTACGATATATTTTCTTCTTTGTTTTCCTTTTTTCTTTCCTTGAATACTCTTGTTAGATGACTTCTTTTGTATAAATGTCTGCGAGCCCTTTCTTTGGTTGGTTTCATTATCCTTGTCATCCATATCATTTTAATAAATGGATTCACCAAGTTATGGGAATCCTTGGGTTCAAAATTCCTTTTATATGACTCTTCTTTGGAAGTATATTACAGTACAAGGCAACAGATATAAGAGCATGGCGAAATTTGAACTTGTCCTTGTTTCAAAAGAATAGGAACTTTTGGTTCTGTAATTGTATTGGCAGTTTCATTGCTGTTTATTGCAGGTTTTGAAGAAAGGTTTCAGAAAGAAGCTGGTCTATGCTCATCGGCTGTTCGTCCTGCTTTAATTAAGGTAATTTATTTTACCATTAAAACTGCATTCAGGTTTTAGCTTCAGAGTTCAGGGTGGGTTAGGTTTGAATTTCAAATCTTCCCAGGCAAAAACTCTGACAGTGATTAGGTGAAATAGTCAACTTTCTTTCACACGATGTCATCTTCACGAGTCATTGCATCATACCTATTTGTTTACTGGAATCAGAACCCTGTATCGGAAGTACAAATTCTTAGTAAGCTTTATGAAATAAGCCTTCCAAGGTAATATTTGAGGTCCACATACTCCAAACGTAATTATAGTTGGTCTCCTAATTGTTTCTGAGGCTGTATATAGTTCAGAGTCCAGAGGTTGTGTTAGTTTCTGTTATGGCATTTCCCTATCTTATTTGGTACACGTTAACGAGTGATTATGATGTCTTTATGTATTGTTTCATCAATTTTTCATAATTCTCTCTTAGACAGTTGGGTGTTTGGCGTTTCCATTCTTTTTGCTTACGAAATTCATAAATTTTTGTGCTCATGTACCTGTGATTATATTTTCTTAATGCTACCGTTATATTTGATGGAAGAGGTCGCACTTGGTGCGATGGCAAGTGCTTTCGCCCATGAGCGGTAGGTCTCGGGTTCGAGACTTGGAAGCAGCCTCTTCATAAATGGGGGTAAGGCTAGCCGACATTCACCTCTCCCAGACCCTATGTAAAGCGGGAGCCTTGTGCACTGGGTACGACCTTTACCGTTATATTTGATGGAATTTATGCTTCAGCCTTGAACTCTGATTTAAAATGATTAACATGTTCATTGATTTGGAAGTGATTCTCGACATGAAAACTTTTCCTGGATACCAAAAAGTCATCTAATTTGATTATGTATGACATTAATTAATAGAAAGATTATTGGTTGATTTGTTACCAGTGTAGCTCTACTGGAAAAGTGCTATTACAACGTAGATTAGTAAAAAGGAATTGCATTGATCTGGTGTACAGTGTACTGAAATTTTGGATATGGTTTGTTATTGCATGGTCTTGTAAGCAATCACTGAATCACTTTCTATTACCCGGACTGAACGTTATGTGAGCAAGATACTTTATGATTTACATAACATTTCCACAACACTATTTCTTCTGTACTAACTGGACTGCCAACTTCTTCTGATCGTTTTTTGGTCCGGGTTCAATGCAGCCTCCAGAGTATATGCCAGAGAATTTATCAATGTATTCAGCGTGGGTGGGCGGTGCCATACTTGCCAAAGTTGTGTTCCCACAAAATCAACATGTAACAAAAGCAGACTACGATGAAACTGGACCATCTGTTGTTCATCGGAAATGCTTCTGAGGTTCTCTTTTTTCGGATGGGAAATTACTCCTTCGCATCAGTCATAATTATTTGCAATTCTCATAGTTCGAAAGCATGCTAGATGGTATGAAATGGAACTCGAAAGGAAAAACAAGTGTATGGAACTGACCAAAAGTCCATCGGATTGGATTGGATTTCAATGAAAGATCCATTAACACATCCAAGCATTTTGGTTTTCAAATTTAGAGATCTTGTTAAGGATATGTTTAGTGAGGGAAATTGTGTTTAATATTCAACTTCATCCTCTACCACATTTCATCTTGATGCATTGATATAAACTCTCAAAGAATTGGATGATTCGCGACGCTGTGCAAACCAGCACCGAACCAATGACAAGAGTATGGGCTGGTTTGGTATTGCTGTGCTTTGAAAAAAAGCTGCTGTGAGAATAAGCGGCTGTGCTGTGAGAATAAGTGGCTGTGAAATAAAGCCAGTAGAGTGTTTGGTAAACTTTTTTGTGAAAGTGCTTTTGGAAAAAAAATCAGGATGATAGTGTGTCTTTTCATTAAAGGAGCACTGTAGCTCCGTGTGCTTTGAAAAAACTGGCTTTTTTTCAAAGCAGCAAATAGCAGCTTCAGCTTTTCCTTTGATTTTCAGCTTATTCTCACAGCAGCTTCCAAAATAAGCCATTTTTTTTCAGTTTACCAAACACAAAAATGACCCTCAGCTTTTTTTCACAGTGGCTTTTTTTAAAATCACCTCAATCCCAAACGGGGCCTATGTCTGGTGACTAGCAATGGTCGTGGGAATTCGTAGATTCCCAGTGGCCTTTGCAGTTAGTAAAGTGTGATTTTTGCGAAACTTGAAGATGATCAAGGGAAAATTACCCAAAATATTGTCTAAAAATAAGTTAAATGACTAAAATTATACTATATATGATATCTTACTAAAGAGGTCGCATTTGGTGCGATGACAAGTGTCTTCGCCCATGAGCGGTAGGTCTCGGTTTCGAGACTTGGGAGCAACCTCTCCATAAAATGGGGGTAAGGCTAGCGGACATTCACCTCTCCCAGACCCTGCGTAAAGCGGGAGCCTTGTGCATTGGGTACGACCTTTTTATATGATATCTTACTAATAATTATGAGGGGTATTTCGGGGAAGGTGAAATTATATTTGATGGAATGAAGTGTTTTAAATCTAAATTAACAACTGGTGCCGTGCGAGTGGGACTGTGGGAGAGGCATTGTCTGTCCAGGGTTTCAGAGAAAGCCAACGAACATCATTGTGCCGTGCGAGTCAAGGTTTCAAGAACAACGGGACTTTGGGGTTAGCACTTTTCTGTTCATTTAATTTCTTATTTGTATGTATCTTCACTTTCACAATTTTTTTTTAAATTCGTTTGGAAGTGTCTTTAAACTTGGTCAAGGTTTCATAATAATTATTACCCATATTACAAATTTGAAATTTACGACCTAATTGTGTCATCATTCCAAAATCACATGATAATAATACTAATGGTAAGTATAACCAATATTTTTTTTAAGACAAGTATAACCAAAGTTTTAACATAAAAAAAAAAAAAGATCGAAAAGATAGACAAACAATAAGAGTATCACATGTTGATTTAAATTTACTAAAAAGATCAAATAAATTCAATACACATGTGAATAAATCAAAAGACTAGAGACAAGGAATGAAGTGTCACGCACCTTTAAGCCCAAATGTCTTGAGTCTTTGACCACATGAAGCACGATGACATTAGATTATGTTTATTGGGGCAAATATTATTCTGCGAGAAGGGTCAACTATAAGTACAAATATGAAAACTTTGGATATAACATATAAGAAGACATTTTTAAGATGGTGAGAAGGGTCAAGTGACCCTTGTGGGCCTTAATTGGCTCCGCCGGTGGCTCATAGGTTGGCTAGACGTGGTTCCGTTTTGTTAACATGGGTATATTTGGATTTTTATTGTCAAATGAGATTCTCATTAAACCACAGATAAGGCAGAATAAATGAACAATAGAGCAATACAGCGTTATACAACAGGTTCCCTCACAAAGCCTGCAACACCGAAGCATCATTAACCTAGCCACAAAGGCACCAAAAAAAAAGTAGGAAGAGTTAAGCTCTGCCTAACCTTGATTTATATTCCTCGGTGGACATGACACCCCGTCTCTTGACAACCAAAACCAGAGAGGGAGGAGGTGCGAGGGCCAGCTGTTGAAGACACACCCTCTTGATACCCAGACTAACAACTTCATGCTGCTTTGAATCCATTTCCATTAAACTTGAGTAAAAATTGAAGTAACCTTCAAATCTCTTTTGTGGTGGAGTTAAATTCTCCACATGCTTCTAACTGATTTCTTCAGGACAACATCCATAAAAACTTTTGAATGATCACTTTCAATTATGACGTTCTGCAGACCCATGTCTTTAGCTGATTCCAATCATGCAAGCGTAGCCTCTGCCTCAGTTTCCTCGATAGATGGTCTGGGAAGATGGCAGTGTTCGCCTCCCAGTAGGATCCCTCTACAATCTCGTATGACAACACCCAAAGCAGCCTTACACAATGGTTTTCATGCACCATCTACATTTGTTTTGACAAAAGGTGGTGTGGGAGGGGTCCAAAATGACATTTCATGTAGTGGTGGCATGAGCTCTCTCGTCACTCTGCACCGATGCTCAATCATCTCCGCAGTAGAGCGAGAGGTTCGCCTTAGTGTAGCTGTTACATCAAGGTTTTTCTTCTTGAAAAAACATTGAATCTTTCTTCCATATCTCCCACAAATAAAACCCTCCCCATGATAAGTAAATGATCCCTATATCTTATGTACAAACAGATTTTGCAACTCCCAACAGCCACACATCAAGATTGGTGATTGTTTGTGGGGAGATCCAAACCATAGTCGGGAGGTCCATCGGCATATGAGGGTAAGGTGCTCTACTGTCTCTTCAAACTTGTCGCAAAAAGGACAGATTTCACATGAAATGACTTTCCTTTGGAATATGCTATTCAAAAAGGTAACACCATGGAGAGAGCCCGCCAAGGGTAGTTGATAATTTTTGGGACAACTTTCATCTTCCGAATAGTCTTCCATACCTTATTCTCAATCAAGTGGGAGGTTTCAGAGAAGATGCCAACCTTGTGGTGGTGGAACTAATTCCATGATCGCAATGATACCCACTTCTAACAGTAAATTATTGCAAGGCCAGATAAGCCGATAAGATGCTTGAGTCGTGTACAATGTGATTGAAACTATCAAATTCGTCTTAATTTCATAGAAGAAAATTGATGATTGCCGTTATCATAAATGATGCCGTAGACAAAGTTGGAGCAGGTCCTGGTATCACAATTGCAGGTTTAGGGCATTGTGGCGTTGAGGGGCGGGAGTCAGTTATCTCTCCAAATTTTCACGCTTCTCGCCAATCCGCCGTTTCGATCCTTCGACAAATACTTCCCTTCCCTGCAATCGACTAATGTCCAAAATAAAATAAAAAAGGCCTGCGCCTCTAGATGCTATAAGTAAATCACCATATGAAAAATATTTGGCTTGACGAACCATGCCCCCGACGTAACGTCCGGTTTACTACTATAGCATGGCTTGAAACCGGCCAGAAAATTTTTGAAGTTTTTTATTTAAAATTAAATACAAACAGTCTTAAAGAAAAACTGGTTGCAGAATGTACGTACAATTATGATTCATTGATCCTGAGATCCTCACAAAGAGGATCCGGATAGGATCCGCCAAAACAACCTTTTAATTTGTACTTTACAATTAAGTTAACCAAATCATTGTGCACTAAGAAAAATGGTTTATTTACTTACGGGAAACAAGTAACAATCACGAAAGCAATAATAATTTTTGAAATTATTGTTGACAGTCTAAAAATTTAATTGTGTATTCCTCTTAATAGTATTTTTATATATAAATATAAAAGCGTGGAGTACACAATTAAATTTTTGAAGTGCCAATAATAATCTAATAATTTTTTTCCCAAACGTTGAAATAGTTCAAAATACTTTAGTCTTTGGGCTTCTGGTACCGTTACCTTAAGAGCCCGCTTGGTGGGCCGGCTGAAACAGGCTATGGACAACTAAAATGGGCTCCGAGCTATGTACGTACAGTACATCTCTTAACCTTCTCTTCTTTGAGATATCATCTGTGCTTTTCTTCACTGTTAAGAGCAATTCCACCCTAAAGATTTTGAGCCAGCACCCAAGGCATTTATCCACTCAAATAAACAGTAATATACCACAGTAAACTGTAATAGACCAAAACATCTCTACTCCTAATAAAAAATAACCTAGTCAATTTTATTAAAATATTATTAATTTTTACTATAAAATAATAATTTGATTTTTTAATGTCGTCTTCTTCTCCTTCTTCTTCTTCCCACTTGCCAGAAATCAATGGCAGCAACAACACCATTTGCCCCAACACTCAACTGAGAGAGGGAGAGAGGGAGAGAGGCATAGGCGCATTAGCATTTCCCCCTTTGATTTTATTTTGCTGGTGAAAAATGGATCCATGCCCATTTGTGCGGGTCACAGTGGGCAATCTCGCTCTCAAGATCCCCGTCGCCTCCAAGCCCGCTCGCTCCGTCGTTCACCCTTCCTTCTCCCCATGCTTCTGCAAGATCAAGCTCAACAACCTCAACCTCCCCCCTCGCCTCCAAGCCCGCTCGCTCCATCGGGATGGGTTCCAAGGATCGGGATGGGGTTCTAGGCGTTGAATGGGTTCCAGATGAGAGAGATGTGACCATGACGTTAGCATGGAGTCAGATGAGCCGTCTCCTTCCTCTGTCGATTTTAGGCCGGCCTGTGGACTGGCTTGGGCTGGGTGCTAGTCTATTCCACGGGCTGGAGTGGATTGACAGGGTCCTAGCCTGGTTTTTTGACTGGGTGCTGGGCTATTCCACCTCCGGTGGAACTGCTCTAAAGATCTTCGGTGGCCTTTCGGCTGTCAATTCTTGTAAAGATTGCCGGAATTCTGAGTCTGGCGAGCTCCATCTCTTTGACAGGTTCTGGTTCAAGATTGAAGAAACTCTCAGGTTCGTTCGATTCAGCACTACCAGGTGTTTGATCAAATGCATCAATGAAATTTTCTTCTGTTTTTTTGGTTGAATTCAACATTCCTTCTTCTTGTTTTTGGTGTTTTCAATTGAATTTCTTGTGACATTCGCATTTCATTAAGGCCAAATCCAAGTGCCTATTATTTCATTCTTTGTTGGATTTCTTGGGATTGATTTCTGCTTGAAGGTTGTTCTTGAAAGGATTTCCTATTTGGCTTATTGTAATTATGTCTGATTCCTCTGTTAAAATTGAGGGTTTGTTGGCTATGCTTACGGTTGGATTTCTTGGGATTGATTTCTGCTTGAAGGTTGTTCTTGAAACGATTTTCCTATTTGGCTTATTGTAATGATGTCTGATTTAAAATTGAGGGTTTGTTGGCTATGCTTACGGTGAAGTTACAAGATCAAATTTTATTGTCCACCCAAATATGGGCTCATTTGGATGTGCTTTTAAATTGATTAAAATCGTTTTTAAAGAAAAAGTTTTTTATGTTCCAAAAGCATCAGTTGTATGTTTTTTCCTCAAGTACTTATACAGTTTACTGCTATGGCATCAATTGAACAACTAATTAATATATAGCATACTGATTAATAACGTGAGACGGCGTACTAATTGATATATAGCATATATATGATTTGAAAACATATTTGTCATGTGAAGTGAAATTTGTAAACAGTACAGTTTTTGCTCAACTGTAAACTTTGAATACTAACGTGAAAACCTAGATGTCTCAAGATTTTCTCATCCCCAAACTATTATTTATGCAGGTTCAGAATGTTTGTTGTTTAGGGGCCAGCCTTTCTGGCGTTGTGAACATGCTTGTCATGGCTTCAAATCACCACGGTATAGGTTTTACAATTGTTGATACTGACAAATTAAAGATTGAGCTTGGAATAATGTCTGGAATGGTGTGCCTGATGCTGCATTGCCTTTTGAGGAGCCTCATCTGAGAGACTTGTTGAATGATGCCAAACACTCTCATAATGTCTGTTTTGTATGTGATGAAACGACAAAAGATGAAGGAATCATAAAGAGGGCAAAGATGGTCTTCATTGTTGTTGAGGTACCCACAAAGCCTTAGGGTGTAGGTGCTAAAAGTTCATTAGACCTCACACGTTGGGAAGCAGCTATGAAATTTGTGATGATTGAATCAACTCTAAATAGATAATAGTTGAGAAATCCACCCTGCCAATTGATGTAATAGAAAACCACACCCAATGCATATTGGCGCAAAATCCGCTTGGTACCCAGTTTTCAGTGTTTTATAACCCGGATTTCTTATCACAAGGCACTGCTGTTCACGACGTGAGAAACCCAAGCCATATTGCTATTGGAATAGTTTAGGGGGTAATGTCAACGTGTTGCAAGAGTTATATGAAAAATGGGTTCAAGCTGATAGAATTAATGTCCTACGTGATTACAAGGCTGTTGTGTTGGTCAAAATTGCAGTTAATTCAATTCTTGCAATGAAATACAACATATTGAGGACGATATCGGAACTGTCTGAATTAGTTCATACCAACTTTGAAGATGTGGAAGAGGTCATTAGAATGGACAGGAGAGTTGGACTTCACATTGATTCGAATCTCGGAATTGGAGAGCAGTGTCTTACCAACGACTTGTACTACTACAAATATATTCTCCACCATCACGGCTTGAAGGAAGACTCGGAAGTAGTTCACAAAATCATTAAATTGAATGGTGAAAGTACAAGTTTATTGCTACGATGATTAGGAGTATGGAGACAATAAGAAATAAGAAGATTGCTGTATTGGAGTTTCCTACAAAAAGAATGCAAACAATGTGTGAAACTCAACGGCAATCCAGATTTGCAAATGTCTGTCGAAAGAAGGATGCGATAAATTAACGATTTATGATGCTAAAGCAAGAAGAGAAGACATAGTACGATCCCTGCTATGGAGAGCAGTCTTTAATAAGAGGGTAGAGATTGTTGTAGAGGCTCACAGAGCATGGGAAGGAGCTCATGCAATTGTGTTTTTCGTCGATTCATATGAGTTTGAAGAATTACCCTGGGGAGATATTCATGAAACAATGGGCAAACCACCATTTATTTTTGTGGGATGCAATCTAAATCTGAACACCGTTAGGACTCTGGGATTCAATCAGACCTAGAGGTAATTTCCAATAAATTTTATTTAAACCCATATTTTATCTAATGGTGTCGAATTAGATTGTATCCCACAAAAATAAATGGTGGCTTCTCCATTGTTTCATGAATATCTTCGCAGGATAATTCTTCAAACTCATCTAAATCGACCAAAAACACAATTGCATGAGCTCCTCCCCATGCTCTGTGAGCCTCTACATCAATCTCTACCCTCTTATTAAAGACTGCTCTCTCCATGGCTCTCCATGGCTAGGCTCTCCGTACTATGTCTTCTCTTCTTGCTTTAGCATCATAAATCGTTAATTTATCACATCCTTCTTTCAACAGACATTTGCAAATCTGTATTGCCGTTGAGTTTCGCACATCATTTGTATTCGTAGGAAACTCCGAATACAACAATCTTCTTATTTCTTATTGTCCCCATCCTCCTAATCATCGTAGCAATAAACTTGTACTTTCACCATTCAATTTAATGATTTTGTGAACTTCTTCCGAGTCTTACTTCAAGCCGTAATGGTGGAGAATATACCCTGCCCTCCAATTCCGAGATTTGAATCAATGTGAAGTCCAACCCTCCTGTCCATTCTAATGACCTCTTCCACATCTTCAAAGTTGGTATGAACTAACTCAGACAGTTCCGATATCATTCTCAAAGTTGGTATGAACTAACTTAGACAATTACGATATCGTTTTCAATATGTTGTATTTAATCGCAAGAATTGAATTAACTGCAATTTTGCCCAACACAACAACCTTGTAATCATGTAGGACGTTAATTCTATCAGCTTGAACCCATTTTTCGTATAACTCTTGCAACATGTTGACATTGGGTCGGGTTTCTCAGGTCGTGAACAACAGTGCATTGTGATAAGAATTTCGGGTTATAAAACATTTGAAAACTGGGTACCAAGCAGATTTTGCACCAATATGCGTTGGGTGTGGTTTCTATTTCTCAACTATTATCTTTTCAGTAGTTGATTTAGTCATCACAAATTTCACAGTTGCTTCCCAACGTGTGAGGTCTAACGAACCTTTAGCGCGTACAACTTTGTGGGTACCTCTACAGAAATGAAGGCCATCTTTGCCCTCTTTATGATTCATTCATCTTTTGCCGTTTCAAAGACCAAGATTAATTTAATGACGATATCTGAACTAAATATGGTGAAAGTTCATGAACCAATTGTATTAAGGAAAGCATTTTGGAGAAACCGTTCCTCTATGACTTAGTCTGACATTCTCACACGAAGCTTGGGCAATTCCGTCGACCAGAGGCTTTAGGTTTACGTCTTTTAACAAAATCTCTCAACATCTGAAGCGCTTGCTACAGTCAAATTTCACTCCCATTTTTGAGGCATATGTGCCTTTCACATTATCATATACTACATTGCTTATTTTCATCGCTGAAGCCTGCGCAAAATGAATGATATTATAATGTGTACTACTACAAAACTTGTTATTAGCACTTAGAAAAAAATCATTATGTACTTCTCCATTATATTTATGCATGTTTTGAGTGAATGATGACATTTTATCAGAATAGCAGATGAGCACACATTTTGTGTGTGAACAATTTCTTTTTATTTTTTTTGATTAAGGAGTGTGATTAGTTTCTAATTTTTTTTTTAAAGCATGGGACAATGATGATGAGATCGTTTCTATTAATAAGGGCATATTTTTCTTAGTATTGCATAATTACTGTTTTGTCATCTTTATGAAAATATTATGTATAAAAAACGAGGGTAAAATATAGGGATATGATTGTCATTTTCTCAAAAGGCTCATATTACTGTTTTGTCCTCCTTAGATATTGTGTGTGAGGGTAAAATACAAAAAATAGGATATGATTGTCATTTTGAGAAAATGTTTAGGGTAAAATAGGAATATGATTGTCATATTTGAGAAAGATTGACAAGGAGAGTTCTCTTAATAATAATAATATAATAGATAATATATATATATATATATATATATATATATATATATATATATATATATATATATATATGATGGGTTAGAACCAATGGACAAATACTTTTACATTCCTTTATAGCCTTTAGATCTTATAATATTCAATGGTCTAGATTAAGAGTGATGTGGAGATTTGTAAATATTAGATGATTATGTGGATTATAACTAACTAGCCTTTCTGCATGTGCTTTGCGCGTGCAAAATACATTTTTTACATTACGACGTGCTACACGTGGCATACAGAGTTTTTATTCCTTCCACATTTGTGCATGCATAAAAACATATTTGCTTTAGAAACACTTCATACATGTTCTACATGCATTGATTTATACGTCCATAATTTTCCATATTAAGGGAGTGATAAAACTAATTTTGATTGGGGCCTATCAACTCTCCAACTTTTCCAGAGGTTGTTGCCAATAAGAAATTTGTGTACTTCACGGCAGCAGAGTTGATAGGGGCCTCTTTAGCAGCCTATAAACTCCATTCCTGCATGGCTTTTATATTCTAGACAATGCAAAATGTAACTTAACAGAATATCAAAATCAGTAATTTTCTGCGAACATTTGTCCGAAGTATTTAAGACGGTTGGAACTTTTGGCTGCCACCAAAATGAATAGTTGATTCTGTAAAACTACACAATCCCTCACGCAGAGTAAGGGAACATTATAAATTATCAAAAGAATTTTTATATGTAAAATAAGTGAAGAGACAGAGGAATCATGCATACTCCAATGAAAATAATGTACCATATAAATTATTAAGCAAGTCAAGAAACTACCAATGAGAATAAAATGATTCCACTTTTACCTTCCAACATTCTGAAAACCTATAGAAGATAAATTTTCAAAATTGTTAGTAATACAAACTCCCAAACCTGTACATGCTGATTGAACCAACTCACTCAAACATTCGACTCTGATCGAATTTGGATCCTGATTTCTTCCTTTTGCCGCAACAATTTTCTCCCCACATTTTATATTTTCTAATTCCTTGTGCCAAAGAATTCTTCCTGCAACACATTTGTTTCTGGTTTCAAAAAGACGAATTAACATAATCAAACCACATCTCTTGGTGTTCATGCTTCAAAGGTGCATGTGCAATAGAATAACATTAGAAATTAAAACACAAACGAACAACATCAGTAATGAATCATGGTATTCTTTCGACTACCAGATCAAAAGGACAGAAGACACTCCTGTGTGGGAAGTTCCTGAAGGGATAAGCAAGTAATGTAAGCAAAGGAGAATGGTTAGGTAAACCAAACTTAAGCAAAACTAAAGGATGGTTAAGTAAACCAAACTTAAGCAAAACTAAAACTCACAAGAAACCTGATCGTGGATGACTCGAACTAAACTGCCACAAACTGAGATAAAATAGAAAGAAAAAAGAAAAGAAATTGAACGTGCAAAAAGGAAACCTGATCGTGGAGGACTTGATAAGTCAATTTCATATTATATATTTTACCCTATTCTTAGTATGTTTTGGTAATTATTTTTGTAGAATTTTGATACTTTGATTTGTATTTTCAATATTGGAGGACGCTTGTGTCTCTCTTGGCGTATTTGTATCAAAATTTGGGATTTGTCTACCAAGCGGTTATTTTCTAGTAATAAAATAAAGGAGTGATGCGCGGTTCTGGAATAATGACGTTTTGGGCTTGAATTGCGTTTTTGGAGCCCATAATGACCTCGGATGAGTTTGTGGCCTTTTGGAGATATGTTCAGAACGTCCTGATCTTCAAAACAAGCTATTATGGGCTGGATTTGGACGATATCTGAGGCTAAAATGTGGCTGGACAAGTACTTAGCAGATTATCCTAGTTTAATTAGGATTTTATTTTCTAAGATATTTTATTATTGTTCTTAGTTTCCTAATTGGAATAAGAGACCTATGTTTTAGGAGTTGTGCGGGGGCATAGCAGTTATATTGCTTTTGCCGTTCTCACTTTTACGTACGCTTTCTTTGATGCAACTTTGGAGATAGAGAGTAATTGCTAGGGTTCTTGGAGATTTTCTACTTTAAGGTATTTTCATTCCTTTTATTCTTAATAATATTTTCTATGATTTTAATTATGAATATGCGAAACTAATTCTTTTTTTATTTAATTGCTTATGATTGAATGCATGCATACTTTGAATTATTAATCACCGTGATTAAAACTATCTAATTGTCTTAATGACTGATCACCATTAGAATCTTTAGAAAAGTAATTTGATACAATTTTGGTTGGAAGGTTCTCTGGAATTGACGCTGACTTCATGTGGTTAATAATTGTAATTTCACTTAAGATGAACACTTCGTCTTAAGGGTTGCATGGTTTTTCAAAGGGTTTTCATAAAGCATAATGAGTCTCTCATGTTCAGATTTGATCCGAACGTCCGGACGGGTTGTATGTTAGATAAACGTTCTATGTTGGAGGTTCCAAGTAAAATATGAATTAGAAAAACCTAACCTTCAAAGTGGCATGTGTAGATCATAAGTAATTGATAAAAGTTCATAGGATTGCTAGGTGATGTTGGAACCCTAATGTTTTCTTAATTTGATTTCTCCCAAACTGTTTCTTCTTCTTTCAGTTTTAATATTGCAGATTAGTTTACTTTTATTTATTAAATTCATTTTTAATTTAAGTAGGTTATAAAATCAATCATCTCAACTTTCTCCTTTAGAATAATTAATTGGAATTTGATTTGCTTCGAATTATTTAATAATCCTTGTGGAGAACGACCTTGCGAGAACCGTTTATACTACAATAATCTTGTCATTCTTGCAAGAAATATAGGAGTTTTTAACCCTTGTGCGTGTGTGGTATAATCCCTATCAGGACTCAAGAATAAGCTGCTGCAAACTGACTGAGAAGATGAATAAACTCCCAAGAACTCACAAATCCATATTCAGTAATTCACAAATCCAACATTAGAGGAGGGAAGAAGCTTCATTGTTCTTTCTACTTCGAATGGTTTGAGTAAATTTATGTTTTCAATTTCATTCTACGACGCTGCCAACAGTTACTAGACTCCGGCACAAACACAAATTCCACATTTGATACAAGCAGCAATATTGATCGCAACCATGGACCGGGTTCGGTTCATGAAGCTGACTGGTCTACCCCAAATGGTAATAAGAATAATGCTGCTGCAAGTGGTGATCACATTAATAAGGGTAATACCTCTTCTTCTCCTCGTAGAGGTGTTACTTACAAGGAAGTGCTTCTGCAGAAGGGAACAAATAAAGGAGGGATTGGAAAAAAAGAAGAGAATAACGTTAATAACAAGGAAGAAGTGGAGAGTAGTGTTGCTGATGATGATAGCGAAACGAACTCTAAAGATGACCTCCTTGAATTGTTCGAATCAGCATGGCTTATGACATCGCCTAGAAAAAATAAGGGAAAATACGCGCCACGTTCGGTTTCGTTCATTTTTTGACAAAAATAGTACGGTTTTAACCACTATTTTCACGAATAACAAAAAAATTATGCAAAAAGAATGCTATTCTTGAGATAAGGTTATATATTTTGCTAGTTTTGTTAATATGAGACATTAAGGTAATTTTTAATGTTTAGAACTTGGTAAATATATGTAGATACAAAAATGACAGTGTTATTTGGCTGTCCAATTCCATAAATCTTGGAAGTGAGTAGGATTCTTTGTGTTATGATAGATAACTGAGCATCAGTTGGTTCTGTACTTTAGTTTTGGCATCATCAAGAAATGCAATGGCTGTAAATAAAATGTTATATTGTTTGTGGTTTGTGGAATTTACAAAATCCACCGAGTGTGCTCTCAAAATTTGCGGAGCAAAACTTTCTCTTGCATCATTCTCATTAGTACTTATCGTTTTTTCACTCTCAAACGATATCAATTTTGTCAAACGCGACAAACAGGGGTTACATATCAACAATAGAATTTTACGGGATAATTTCTGTGTATTCCATAATTCTCAATAAAAGGATATGTACAACTCTAGTTACAAGAAAGGCAACAAATAAAGGACATAATACCTTTCCTAAAACAAGACTCTAGTAATTACAAAATATTTACATTCTCTTTTCTACTAAATATTAACTTATTCCAATACTCCCCCTCAAGTTGGAGCATAGATATTACTCATGCCCAACTTGACAAGCGACTCACCAAACCTTCTATTGCACACGGCATGGGTAAGTACATCTGCAAGTTGTTCCTCTGAGTTCACAAATGGTATTGACACAATCTTCTTCTCCAGCTTTTCTTTGATAAAATGTCTATCAACTTCAACATGCTTAGTCCTGTCATGCTGTACTGGATTCTCGGCTATCTCTCTAGCGGACTTATTATCACAATACAACTTCATTGCCTCCTTCTGTGTAAAACCAAGGCTCTCAAGTAACTTTCGCAGCCAAAGCATCTCGCATACACCATGTGCCATTCCCCTATATTAAGCTTCGGCAGAAGACCGTGACACCACATTTTGCTTCTTGCTCCTCCACGTAACCAAATTGCCTCCAACGAATGTAAAATATCCCGATGTAGACCTTCTATCAGTCACATCACCGGCCCAATCAGCATCCGTAAATCCCTCGATCCTCATATGCCTATGACTCTCATACAAAACTCCTTTACCCGGAGCAGACTTTAAGTATGCCAAGATTCTCATCACTGCCTCCATATGATCTACACTTGGTGAGTGCATAAACTGACTAACCACACTTACCGCGTAAGCAATATCCGGACGAGTATGAGACAAATAAATCAGCCTCCCCACCAGTCTTTGATATCTCCCTTTGTCAACCGGTTCCTGATCTGGATAAATCCCCAAATAATGTTTCTCTACGATAGGAGTGTCCACAGGTTTACACCCCAGCATGCCTGTTTCCTTTAATAAATCCAGAACATATTTACGTTGAGACAAGAAAATACCTCTAGATGACCGAGCGACTTCCACTCCAAGAAAGTATTTTAAATCTCCCAAATTCTTCATCTCAAACTCGGCAGCAAGGTTTTGTTCAAGCTTCATCATCTCTTCTGAATCATCACCGGTTATTATCATGTCATCTACATAAATTATTAAGGCAGTCACTTTACCACTTCCCCGTTTCACAAATAATGTATGATCCGAATGACTTTGATAATATCCAAACCTCCTCATAACCTGAGTAAATCTCCCAAACCATGCACGAGGTGATTGCTTAAGTCCATAGAGTGACTTTCGCAATCTACATACTCCGGTTTTTCCTCCAGCATTGTACCCCGGAGGAAAATCCATATACACCTCTTCTTCTAGGTGCCCATGAAGAAAAGCATTCTTTACATCAAACTGTTTCAGTGGCCAATTCAAGTTTGCAGCTAAAGAAATCAGAACACGTACCGTATTCATCTTCGCTACCGGAGAAAAAGTTTCCTGATAGTCAATACCATAAGTTTGAGTATACCCTTTCGCTACTAACCTTGCTTTATATCTGTCTACCGATCCGTCTGCCTTATATTTAATTGTAAAGACCCATCTACACCCAACTGGTTTCTTGCCTTTAGGTAGCTCCGTCACCTCCCATGTATCATTCTTGTGTAGTGCCATCATTTCTTCATCCATTGCAGCAGCCCATTTAGGATCCTTCAAGGCCTCCTCAACTCGGGTTGGTGCTTGGATTGCTTCCACATTATTTACCCAGGCTTGACGTTCAGGTGCAAGGTTTTTGCACGACACATAATTTGATATTGGATACTTTACTTTTCCTTCAGGAGAAAACCTATCAGGAGGAACACCACGATTTTGCCTTGGCGGCAACTTATACATACTTACATCATTATTTGGATTAGTTACATGAGCATCTGTAGTACTTACCTCAGGGATATTCAGAGTAGACACATTGGGTGGCACTATCGAGCGAGAGAGAGAGGGTGATGTAGGTTCTGCAGATGGCACTTCTTCCCTTGAAGTACTTGGTTCGACAATAGGCTGCTGGATTATTATAGCTTCCTCAGTAGGACCTTGCCTAAAGCCTGCACTTGTCTCGGCAGGCATCAGCTGAAGGCCCATATCATTCTCGGCAATTTCTTGTCGAAAATTTGGTGTCCCATTTTCATCATTGTCGTCAACACATGCTCCCCCTGAACTACATATCACATCCTCGGGTACCTCTAACCACCCAAGATCAACTTGATCACCACTAGTGTTCTCCCCATGGTGATATGAAGGTGATGGGATCGAAGAATAGAAATACTCTGATTCAGAAAAAGTAACATCCATAGTCACATACATATGTCGAGTTTCAGGATGATAACACTTATACCCTTTCTGTTGAGAGGCAAACCCAACAAAAACGCACCGAAGGGCACATGGATCCAATTTGCTACGATGAATCTTGTGAATATGAACATATACTACACATGCAAACACACGAGGAGTAAGGGTATTAGTGGATACTACAACCCGAGATGGCATACGGTTAATCACATACACAGCATAGGTAACGGCTTCAGGCCAAAAACGTTTAGGCACAGACGCACCAATAAGCAGGGCACGAGCAGTTTCCAAGATATGATGATTCTTTCTCTCAGCAACCCCATTTTGTGGAGTATGCGGACATGTAGTTTGATGAATAATTCCACGATCTTGTAGAAACCGGGATAACTCAGAAGCTATGTACTCTCCACCGTTGTCAGAACGCAAAACTTTAATATCAATGGAATACTGAGTTTTAACCATCTGTTGAAACAGACGAAACACATCACAAACCTCACTTTTATTTTTCAACATATACAACCACGTCATACGAGTGCAATCATCCACGAAAGTAACAAACCATCTAATTCCCGAAGTAGTACTAACAGGGGAAGGCCCCCACACATCAGAGTGTACTAGTGCAAATGGAGAAGATCTTCTATTCATACTTGGAAGGAATGAAGCACGATGACTTTTGGCTAAAATACATACTTCACATTTCAATTCTGAGTCTTCAATACCACTGAACAAATCAGGTACTATATGTTTCAAATAACCAAACGATGCATGCCCCAAACGACGATGCAATAACAATACCTTCTGTAGATTCCTATTACGTGACGAATGAACCAAATGAGCTCTTCCAGGAACCACGTCATCCACATAATATAGTCCATCTCTCTTAGTGCCACGCCCAATGATCTCCTTTGTTTGAATATCCTGAAACAAACAAAATGAAGGATACATTACTACAACACAATCCAATTGTTCAGTGACTTGAGGTACAGACAATAAGTGATGGGACAATGACGGAACCAATAAACAATTATGTAACGGAAGAGAGGGTGTAAGAGACATTGTTCCCGCTCCAACAACGGCAGCAGTAGTACCATTGGCAGTTGCCACACACTTTCTATGAGAATCTTTCATGGACTGAAACAAAGTTCTATCATACGTCATATGATCCGTTGCACCGGAATCTAAAATCCAACCGGTATTGGTCATTGTAATAACAACTGCACATCAGTCTCTACACACTGCACAAAACAACAAGTACGCACAATACTTATACGTAACAAACTACACACTTGCAGCTGTAGACACGCTGATCCACGGACAGAAATCACTAGCACAAACTGTAGCCCACGGTACAAGAGAACAATCCACACATTGCAAGCAGTAGCAAGAACCCACAAATCCTTTTTTTTTTTTTTTTTCAAAAGAGAAAAAATTGCAGAACTTGCAGACAGAATCTGAAATAATAGTACTAACACGCACAGGAACAAAGGCACGATACTGGACAACAATTCAAGTGCAGCTCGGCACAAGAATTATAGTTATACTCACTGCAACAAACTGGACAGCAAGCCAAATTGTTTACTACCCACGGGATAAAGGAAAAGGTACTTTGACAATTGATGCAAAGCAATTGTATGCTAACAATTGCACAACAATTGTACACTGTTAAAAACCACAAGCACAGCAATACCATTCACACACGGTTGCACACACAGCAACAACACACACGCACAGTGACTGATCTCTGCGAAAAGAATTGCAAAAAAAACAGTTGATTGAGCACAACGGAAAAACTAGGGTTACGGCAGCTTTGGCTCTTGATACCAAATAGAATTTTACGGGATAATTTCTGTGTATTCCATAATTCTCAATAAAAGGATATGTACAACCCTAGTTACAAGAAAGGCAACAAATAAAGAACATAATACCTTTCCTAAAACAAGACTCTAGTAATTACAAAATATTTACATTCTCTTTTCTACTAAATATTAACTTATTCCAATATCAACAACGTATGGTTCTATAGGCGCACTCCCATACATACAATATTGAGTAAAGTAAAAATCATGCTAGGTTTTTATATAGCATGGGCACAGCTATGAGAGGCTGAGCTTTCTTTAAGGTGATGCCAAACTTCTCTTCCATGTTCAAGGTCTCTGATACAACTCCATTTTCAAGCTTCCAATCATCAAACGAATTAATAAGCGAGCCCAACATCAAATTCAACATTCTCATTGCCAATGGCAATCCAGGACATATTCTCCTCCCACCACCAAACGGAATAAGATCAAAGTTTCCCCCTAAAACATCAATTTCCGAATCCAAAAACCTCTCCGGCATAAACGAGTTTGGATCGTCCCAAATGTTGGGGTCTCTCCCTATGGCCCATGCATTGACCAATACTTGTGCACCCTTTGGTACAATGTACCCGCAGATTTCAACATCTATTTCGGCTTTTCGAGGAAGTAGAAATGGAGTGGCTGGGTGCAATCTGAAGGTTTCTTTGATTATGGCTTGTAAGTAAGGGAGTCCAGCAATGTGTGACTCCTTAACTGGCTTTCCTTTGCCGATGATTTGCTTCAGCTCTGCTTGTGCTTGTGATAGTTTTTCTGGGTTGCGGAGTAGCTCAGCCATTGCCCACTCCAATGTGCCTGAAGTTGTATCTGTGGCTGCACTAAACAGATCCTAATTGACCAAATGGCTAATTAGTCTGAAATTTTAATATATCGAAGTGACGAGAATAGAAGAAAAACTTATTACAAACTATTATTCTTATTCGCTACTAATTAGTAGTGACATTCTTCTTCACTTGTAAGTGAAAGGTCTTAAGTTTAAATCTAAAAAATAACGAATTTATTCCTCATTTCCCATAGTGTAAATATATCATTGCATAAAAATGTGTTCTTATTCCTACTGACTAAAAGAAAGGAATTTTAAAAAAATTTGATAAGACGCTACACAGCAAAGGGACTACATTTTGTCAAGACTTCATTCCTACAAGGTTACAATAGGTGTATTCATAAAGATCTAATCTTGAAACAAACGGGACAAGAAAGCAATTTTAATCATTATTATACTCCAACAAAAAAATTAAATGAAGCTAATATAATGAATGAAAAAAACTACTTATACTAACTCAAGTGACCATATGATTTATTGGGGCCCTTAAACACCCACCCTCCACCCTCCCCCTTTTTATTAAATTATCTTTGACATGGATCATTACAAATCTGGCTAAAGCGGAAGTCAACGAGGGCACAATGTGAAAAAATTAAAGTTCCGGGCTCGAGGACAGGGTTATCCTATAAAAAATCCACTTGTCATATAACTATTATAATATTAAAAGATATAATTCATTGGGGTTTTTGAACATTAGTCCTTGCAAAAGATTAAAATTTAAAAAAAACCTGATGCTAGATTAAATATTCAATTTAATCCCTTGAGTGTACTTTTATCAAAATTTACATTCAATTTTTGTTATTTAATGTGTATTTTTATTTAATCTTTCCATATTAAATTTTAATTTTATTAATATGCACATATTTAGTTTTTTAATTAGAAATGAACATAAATGAGAAAATATTAAAAGAAATTTGTGATACAAAAATATATAAATACATAATTAAGTATACATAAATGACTGCGCTAAATATATAAAATTGACTTTTTTGTACCGAAATATTTGTACCTACATGATTGTACCGAAATATATTATAATGAACCTAAATGTATGTACCGAAATGTATTATATTGAATTAATGTACCTAAATGTCAATACCGAAATGTATGTACCAAAATGTACATACCTAAATGTCAATACCGAAATGTATGTACCTAAATATCAATACCAAAATGTATGTACCTAAATTTATTTACCAAAATATAATATATTGAATTAATGTACCTAAAAGTCAATACTCAAATGTGTGTACCAAAGTATACGTAACGAAATGCATTATACTGAATCACTGTAACTATATGTTTGTACCGATGGATATACCGAAATATTCAAATGTATTAATGTACCTAAATGAAGAACATATAAAATTGTTATCGGAATATATATTATAAAAAAATTAGTTGCCTAAATGTAGACATTAAAATATATTATGATGAATGAAATAAAAATTAAATTTAAATGTAATTAATACATTAAAATAAAAAATAAATAAAAAGATAAATAAAACATCAAAATATAACTAATAAATGATATGATTAAATGTACTAGGGACTAAAATTGGATTTTAATCTTACACAGGGTTATAATCTAAAACTCATCTTTTTTAAGGATTAAAATGAAGTTTTCTATAATTCATTCACTAAATTTTAGTGCTCTCAATAATCCTTCCTTTTAAATACGAAAGGCTCCCAACAAAGTGTTTATATAGTCCTTCACCCCCTCAAGAATAGTAGCAATAATAGAGAGCCCTTGTGAAGCGTCAATTGTTTATGTACTCCTCAAGTGAGGCACATGATGACCATTTTAGAAGGTACATATAGCGACACAACTCATAATTAACAAACAAGTAAAGAACCAGCAACAACAAAAATTATGATCGAAGAAAACCTAGTTACTTTTAATTCATCAAATCAAGAACAATATATAGTAGGAACTAACCAGAAACAAATGCTCAGTTTCAGCCATGTCCATGTCCCCGCTTTTCTCTTCACTGAAGTTTATAAGTGTATCCAACATATCTTTAGTTGTGATATAATCACGTGATTTTCTTGACTCCAACCTTTGTGTGATCATGCGGTCAAAGAGGCCGATCATCTTCTGGAAGTGATTGGCCAGACGACGCCGTATTCCCATGGGATCGATCTTCTTAAGTACAGGAAAATAGTCAGCCAAGTTTGGCTTCCCAATCTCTTCAACAATACCCCATACCAACTCCTTATACTCTCTAGCCGTCTCACTATTCTGGTCCGCCAAATCCACAGAGAATACGGTACGCGACATCAAGTTGAGCGTAGTTTTGAAAGCAGCACTTCTAACATCAACGGCTTCACCTTTTAAAACGCTTTCTTTGACCTCGGATATGAGCTCTTGAACTTTTAGGTGACGGTTGCCTTGGTTGGCGTCGAGAACTTTGGTGGCAAACAATTGCGAGTTGCATATTTTTCGAAGGTTTCTCCATGCCGCTGAAACCGGTATCCAGGGCATGCTGTACTTAGCATGGTCACAGGCCTGGATCGCATCTGGGACGGTTCGGTTGCAGAAGAGTTGGTCGTGGGTTCGGAGGACTTCTTTGGCGACGGTTGATGAAGAAATTACCACCGTCGTTATTTGGCCGAGTTGCAAGGCCATTATGGGGCCGTAGCGTTGTGAAAGCTTGGTGAGAGAGATATGGGGTTTGTTGCCAAGCTCTAAGAGATTGCCAATGAAGGGAAGTGGGTTTGGTCCAGGTGGGAGCCTTGTGGTAACTGATGATCTTCTTCCAAGTGAATAATAGAGAGTGTAAATTGAGATCCATGCAACCATTAGACCTAGTAGTATGCAACTCCAGATGTCCATCTCTGAGCTCTGTCTCCTCGTTCTCCTAAACCTGTAACTCTAGTGCAACTGTTGAAAGAGATGATGAATGTTGCGTGTATATCCAAATTGAGAAGTGATAATGTGATAGGGCGCATGTGGACTTCATCATTCTTACCACTTTTTGTATTTTTATTTATTTATTTATTTTAATTCGCAAGTAAAAATTTATTTATTATTTTTAATTGGTAATAAATTCATAAAAAAAATGCCCACTAACTTCTTTACACGGGTGAGGTTGTTTCTTTTGAATTTTATTTGAAGGAAAGATAAGAGAAAATCGGTTATGGTGGTTTGGACATGTGCAAAGAAGGCCTACTGACGCTCCGATTAGAAGATGCGACTATGGGATAGAGGTTCAGGGCCGAAGGGGCATAGGAAGACCTAGGAAAACTTTGGAAGAGACCCTAAGAAAAGACTTAGAGTACTTGGATCTAACGGAGGACATGACACAGGACAGAACACAATGGCGTTCTAAGATTCATATAGCCGATCCCACTCAGTGACTTGGATTTTCCAAGTCTCCAACCGAGAAGTTTTCCTCACTCGGGAAATTAAGGGAACACTACCTCAACCTATATGCTCCACTCACAAAGCTTCAACATACAAGCTTCAACAAAAGAAAATTCAAAGAACTTAGCGAAGAAGGCTTTGGTGTATTTAACACAATACGTTGAAATGAAGGAAAGCTTATTTATTGATATCCCCGATAAGTTACAAATATGTACATATACTTGAGTCAAAATAAACAAACAAGAGGGAGCCTTCACAAAGGTTGCTTAGGAGAAGTCTCAGCAGTCGGTAGAGCCCCAGAAAGAGAAGGCACCAGAGGGGGATCATTCGGAGCCTCAGTACTGGACAAAACCCTAGAAGGAGGAGGCATCAGAGATTGATCATTTGGAGCTTCATTACGCGGTACAGCCCCAGAAGACGAAGGCAATAAATGCCTTTGGAAACAAACCCACAAATCTCTGATGATCAAGTAAAACCTGACCATCAGATTCCTTCATCTGGTCAAGCTTCCTCTTCATGTTTGTAGCATAGTCATGTGCGAGCCGGTGCAACTGTTTATTCTCATGCTTGAGCCCTCTAATCTCCTGTTTGAGACTCATCACTTCAGCCGCCAATGATTCAACTTGGCGGGTTCGAGCAAATAGGCGTTGGGCCATATTAGACACAGAACCTGCACACTGAACACTGAGAGCCAGAGAATCCTTAACAGACAACTCATCAGACCGTTTGGAAAGTAGTCTGTTATCTTTGGGAGTGAGAAGGTTCCTGGCCACTACCGCAGCGGTCATATCATTCTTCATCACGGAATCCCCAACGGTAAGAGGACCAGTAGGGGAGACGAAGAAGGATGGGCGCCATATGTTGTCTGGAGAAGGCGGGGCTGCCTCTTCAACAAGGTTCAAGTCAAAACGACGGTCGGAGGGGCCAGACATTTTCAAAGGTGTTGAAGAGAGAAGAAGAGGTCGGACAAATCAAGATCTTAGAAGTCCAAGAATGGGAGCTTCTACTGGTGGATATAATCAAGTGTGCTTTGGAACTTAATGTCAGCCCCTATAAAAATCTGCACTCGACAAAGCTTCAGAAATCGAAGAGGCGCCTGCTCAGAAATCGAAGAGGCGTTTGCTTTCTCAAAAGCTGGGCTGCTCAGAGACCACGAAGGTCGATCTCAGAAATCGAAGAGGTGTTTGCTTTCTCAAAAGCTGGGCTGCTCAAAGACCACAAAGGCCGATCTCAGAAATCGAAGAGGCTTGCTTTCTCAAAAGCTGGGCTGCTCAGAGACCACGAGGGCCGATTTCAGAAATCGAAGAGGCACCTACTTTTCCAGCCTTGTCAGCACCTGTCACACGCACACTCAGCTTTGCGGAAATTATGGGCATTATGTCGAAGATTTCTGGCGAAGTAGAAAGCACATGAATCGTATTGTTCAATCACCCACTTCCCACACGCAACAGTAGCTCATGGGTACCACAGATAACTTTGCCAAAGTTCTCTGACAAAGTTGAGACACGTGAAGCTTGCAGCTCCCACTACATCGCTCTGACCAAGAAGGGTAAAAGAATTGCAAAGAAACAACACTAACAAAGTTTAGACACATAAATTTTGAAGGTCTAGCTACCATATTATTACCCACAAGGGTAAAGGAACAGTACCACTGCTGGATAATTGGAAAGTCCCGGTGTGTCAACCTCTGTGCTTCGTGGCAAGGTAGACTAGCAAACATGCCCAACCTTTTACTCACATTCGAGAAAACACTCCTAACAAGATTGCTTGCTCCAAAATCGAAGAGGCACCGCCCTCCGAATCTCGAGAGCCAGACTCCCAACATGATTACTTTCTAAAAAATCGAAGAGAGGGTAAAGGAACAGTACCACTGCTGGATAATTGGAAAGTCCCTGTGTGTCAACCTTTGTGCTTCGTGGCAAGGTAGACTAGCAAACATGCCCAACCTTTACTCACATTCGAGAAAACACTCCCAACAAGATTGCTTGCTCCAAAATCGAAGAGGCACCGCCCTCCGAATCTCGAGAGCCAGACTTCCAACATGATTACTTTCTCAAAATCGAAGAGAGGGTAAAGGAACAGTACCACTGCTGGATAATTGGAAAGTCCCTGTGTGTCAACCTCTGTGCTTCGTGGCAAGGTAGACTAGCAAACATGCCCAACCTTACTCATATTCGAGAAAACACTCCCAACAAGATTGCTTGCTCCAAAATCGAAGAGGCACGGCCCTCCGAATCTCGAGAGCCAGACTCCCAACATGATTACTTTCTCAAAAATCGAAGAGACACCGCTCTCCGAATCTCGAGAGCCAGACCCCTGACAGGTCTGTAATCTTCACACGCAACATCAGCTTTCCAGATACCACAAACCACTTTTTCAAAGTGCTCTGACAGAGTTAAAACATGTGAAGCTGGCAGCTCCCACTACCGTGCTATAACCAAGCAGGGTAAAGGAATAGCATTATTACTTGATGTTAGGGAGACTCCTATATATGTCGACTTCCATCCCTAACGGACAGGCAGACCTGCAAAAATGCTCAACCCTTTCTCTTATCTGAGAGGGCACTCCCAACAAAGCCTTTCGAAATATTCAGCTTTCTTTCCCCCCGATAATACCTCTGTAAACAAGCTATACTAGAGCAAGAATATCTCATATCATCAGGGTTAAAAGCAAGAGTATCCCATATCATGCTTTTTCCCTGTCTTTTCCTTTGGCCTTGTTCTTACCTGCAAGACAAGGAGAAAGAGAGCAATCAGTCAGCATTTGGAATCAAGCTTCCAGCCAGGAATTGACTGCCTGGAACCCCTTACCTGATTACTTACCTGGCATTGCTCTCGAGTACTCATCTTCAACATCTTATGCTTCCAGGGAAGATACCGCATCTGCCTAAGGAACAGATAGGGCAAGTGAGAAGGATACAAGGAAGCATGTGGAGACAAGCGTAACAGCACACGTGCCGATACATCCACTACTCTATCAAAAGCAAAAGTATCTCATATCAGCAGGGTCGAACGTACTCTAGATTTGATGGACTTGTTTTGACCCTCAAATTCTTCAGTCGGCCTTATACTCTGGAGGAAACCAGAAAACCCTCCAGCTCAGTTCAAGAATAAGCCTGTGGAAAGTTACTTCTTCAAAAGCAAAAGTATCCCATATCATCTCTCCTCATTTTTCTTCTCTTTATCCTTCATGCTGCCTGCAAGATAGGGAGAATGTGAACAATCAGCCGGAGCTCTGATTGCTTACCTTGTCTGTCACCTCTTTCAGCAGATCCCCCAGCTCGGCGACTTGGGGGACTCCTACTACATGGTTTGTATCTCGCTTGACCAAGCATGAAACTACAAGTAAGCTTCAAGTGAAATTGATACATTACCTTGTGCATCTCCACCAGTTACAGATACCACCCCTGGATGGAGGAAGAGTACTTCCAGAGAAGATGCCACATCTACCTATGAGACAGATAAGGCAAGTCAAGACGATACCACACTCCGGTACTTAGAAGTTTCGTGGCTACGAGATCATTCTCCCACAATATTTCCTAATGTCATTTGTACTAAATCATTCACTTGTACTCACTAAAGGAGAGCTTGAACCTATGTACTTGTGTAAACCCTTCACAATTAATGAGAACTCCTCTATTCCGTGGACGTAGCCAATCTGGGTGAACCACGTACATCTTGTGTTTGCTTTCCTATCTCTATCCATTTACATACTTATCCACACTAATGACCGGAGCAATCTAGCGAAGATCACAAAAAGTGACCGTTTTCGCTACCTAGGATCTATCTTGCAAGAGAACGGAGAATTAGATGGAGATCTCAACCATAGAATACAAGCTGGATGGATGAAGTGTAAGAGTGCATCCGGCGTGTTGTGTGACCGTCGTAGGCCACTGAAGCTCAAGGGAAAATTTTATAGGACGACAATAAGGCCAACGATGTTGTATGGCACAGAATGTTGGGCGGTGAAGCATCAACGTACACAAAATGGGTGTAGCGGAGATGAGGATGCTTCGTGGGATGTATGGGCACACGAGAAAGGATAAGATTGGGAATTAGGATATCCGAGGTAAAGTAGGAGTAGCCAAAATCGAAGGAAATATGAGAGAAAATCGGTTCCGGTGGTTTGGACATGTGCAAAGAAGGCCTACTGACGCTCCGGTTCGAAAATGTGACTACGGGACAGAGGTTCGGGGCCGAAGGAGTAGAGGAAGACCTAGGAAAACTTTGGAAGAGACCCTAAGAAAAGACTTGAGTACTTGGATCTAACGGAGGACATGACACAAATGAGCGCAATGGCATTCTAGGATTCATATAGCCGACCCCACTTAGTGGGAAAAGGCTTTGTTGTTGTTGTTGTAGTTATAAGAAGTGAGAAGCATTTTTACAATATGAAAAATTTATTAAAATTTGCGTTCTCCTTTATATAGAGATAAATTGTGTATCGTCCTTCTGCTCCTTCGAGTTCGATATGTCCGCTTCGAGTTCGAGAGTTTTCTATTTCGTTTAAACCTTTCTTTCTTCTGCTCCTTCTCTGATCCGTGCCTTA